AAACAATGACTGTCGTTTTCGCTAAATCGCTTTGAGACAGCTCATGCGTATCGGGAAATGAGTTTTGAAAACCCTCTTCCCCTCATCGCGAATTAGTTTCTGAACATTCTCAATAAATATTTTCACTGAGGACTTTACGATCGATTATTTAATCCTTAAATTTGTGTCAATTAACAAAAAATTTAGGTCATCCTTTTTGGCACTATTAAAAATTTAAATGTCGATTGTCCTTCGTGTTTGCACCCTTTGCGTTTGACTCTAATCTATTTCTTTCTCTCTTTAAACGAAATTATGGAATATACAGACGAATAAAAGAGAAGAGAATTAAAGAAAAAGGAAAAACTGAAAATACATTTATTACTAAGGTACAATTTATTATCTAGAATCCCAACAACCATGCATAAAGAAATTCAATAACCGCGCGGCTTATCTCGACACCGTGTCCTCCATTTTTACGGAAGGGGAATTACCTTCGAACCACGTTCACGTCGAGATCTTATCGCGACACCGAGCGGTGCCTCATTTCCGTCAACCCTAAAGTCTCTTTTAGCCTCGTCTGAGGCCGAAGGCGTCTGCATCCTCTAACGTCACATCGTGATCTCACTCATAACTCTTGCAACGCTTGTCACTGACACCTAATCCTCGGTATAAATATTTTGCAAGGCAAATTACAGGAGATATTTTGCAAGAAGACGTTACAAGCATCGGCGATCGCCTTCTTCTAAAGAATTCCGTTAAAAATTCTCAAGCCTGTAGATTAGTGTCAGAGAAATGGGGATGGATAAAGCGTGGAAGGTAATAATTTCGTTCTGAGTATCAACGCGCGAAACTTGAATCGAATTTAATGATGGGATTAATATTCTTTCAACGCACGCGATTCTGTGAGTTCCGATTCGAACTTAGTTTACATTTTAAGTAGATAAATTCCCTATGAGACGCTAGTTAGACAAACGTTTCAAGCATCTTACGGTGGAATCTCCTCGAGTGAAACTTGAAACTCAATAACGTCGCCTGCGCAATACTTTCACCCTTTCTCGATCGCAGGAAACTCCATTAGGCGTTTGATCATCAGCGATGACCTTTTCTGACAGAAACACGATATATCCACCTAGTTCACTATAATTGTATAATGTTGGCGAGTTTCTTCAAGTCACCTAACTCATTCCGTAATCCTCTAAGACGCTTAATTGCGTAATGGATAGAGCAGTGACTATGCGAGAACACGGAAAGAGAGACAGAGAAAGAAAGAAAAGAAGACGCAGGGGAAAAAAATAATAAATAAATTTGCACAAAAGCATTTATTTTCATAAGAAATTTGTCATTTTTTAATTATTAATTGATAAACTTTCTGTTCTTTGATTAAGTTATGTATTTGAAGCGCAGAATCAGGAAAAGAATTTCGTCATCCATCATCTAATATCACCATGTAATTGATCCAAAGTCTTATAACAGGTCAAACGACTTGAAATAATTTAAATGTATCGATTGAAGTATCCAATTAATATTCAATTTGAGAAGAGATTCTAAATAAAATAAGAAATTATTTCATAATTTCCTTCCTTTTTTTCAACGTTCGGTCTATTCTTTTAAATTGATGTGAAATAAAGACCAATTTGGGACAGCACAATTCAATACAGAACAAATCTGACAATTCGGTTTTCATGACCAATCTCGCTTGCATCGACGTCACTTGGGTTGCTTCTTTGCTTTTATGAAGCACTTACAGCACTTTACGAGCATTACTTTGAATTGCCCGCCAGTAATAAAATAAATTATTCATACTGGCATTTACGTGGCCCTATTCCACCGATTATGTAAACATTTGCGAAGGGAGCTTTGTCGATGCAAACGATGTTCTTATGGGGGTCTTCATTAGTGCATCGCCATGCTCTTAGCTTTGGCCAATTAACAAAATGAAATCGCGCACTCTAGTCAATCTTGCCTCAGTAATTATTTCTCCTCTGTTCTGCTGAAGTGTGCAACACAGACGGCTTGCTTCGATCTATCAGCTTTTTTTCCTGTGCGAATCAGCGCATTCAAAGAACTCGAGATTACGCCATAATTGGCCCAGATTGTTAACAATAGCAACTCTTTCTGACTTACTGAATACTATTTCATTTGCCACTCGTACACATCTGTTATAGAACGCGCCGTGAATTGATTTATATCTATATTAATATTTGCACAGGGGATGTTCTCGATTAACCGTGTAATATTGATCGCTCATATCGAAACAGATTGCTGCTTTTTTATGATATATGTTTCTGTGTGAAATTTGAGGGGAACATGTACAGGAATAAGCGCGTATTTATTCGAAATTTGTCAATAAAACGAACATTTCACGAACGCCTCTTAATACAGATATACGTTTCTCTCAGCGATGTAGATTCAATTAAAAAAAATTTTACTTTAGAAGCATACATTTCTTAAAAAAAAATCAACATATCCATATCTATTAAAAATAATTAGTCAATATTCGTTTTAATTTATTAAGAAAATTAATAACGAAAAATTATCTGTTTCGTTGGCACTAATTGGAACAATAAACAAGTCTATTTACATTTCCCGTCTTACATATTATTTAGCAAATTAATTAAAACGCTCAAATATACCCACGCGCGCATATAATTTAACGTTTGTATTTATATTTTGTTTAATTTCAAATAGACTTTTTTTTTTTAATTTTAATTACATTGTTTAATTATAAAATGCAATTATTAAATACAGCTTAGTTATAAACGGCAGAAGTTTATTACAACAAATAAAAATGTTTCTCGATAGTTTTTTATTTCGTGTAAAATGCTGTAACATTTTCTCATGCTTTTATAACAACCTTCACAAATTCACATGAGTTTTATTTGACTCGCATTGGAGAAACAGAAAGAGTATATCATATTCAGCGAAAATAGATAAAGATCGTGTAAAAGGGATTCTAATGAGCTCGTTCTTTCACATAACGACATTAAAGTAATAGTGATTACCGCCGTTTCTTAGGAAAATTCTTTTCGCGATTGTAAATTAAATTTCCAATAATTGCTTCCAACGCCGCCTAAAATGATAATTAAATTTCTGATATCAGTATCCGTGACATATCATTGTAATCGTAATGGCCATTCGGGTGTTACTGAGAGCAAGATAAGCGGCGTTTGTATCTAATTTCCCATGAAAAAGAAGATTTTCCTTCTTAGATAAACGATGCAAATTCAGTTACCAAAACTAGATTAGCGATGGAAACGCGTGCCGCATCTTCTTTGATCCCTTGACCTCGCATGTTTATCGCTGAGAAATTGCCACGCTTTTTTAAGCATGATAAATTTGGAATACGAAACAAGCTAAATCAAGAAAATCAAGTTTCGGTTTTAAGTAAAATCGCTTTGTGTGGAATATACAGGCAAAAGCGATTTCGTTTGCAATAAAAACACTTTACTTGCAGCAGAGGTGCAAACGATTCGTTTGAAATAAAAACAAAAAGTTTCTTTTTGCCTAAAATGAAATTTTTTTTTTCATCGTTACTGCCCGCGTTTTAAACAAAATAATTGATTTGAAATCTTCTTTTTTGTTTTGAACTTTCTCTTTAAATGTTTGAGGTCAATGTAAGGAAGAATTTTCTTTCTGTCTATTTGTCAACATTCTTTCAAACATTCTTACGGTTTATTTTTATGGAAAAGTATTTCACACGGTTTGTCGATAGAAGAAAAGAATCTGTTGCCGAGATTATTTCACGTTGTTTCCGTTAATGTGTCGTTCTTTGAGTTATTCTCCCTTTCATTATTAAGCTTGATTCGATAACATTCACTTTTACGCCTTCGGCGAACGATCTATTTAACCGACCGTCCTTCAAGTCCGGAGGAAAGTTGAATTACTAGAGAGAACGAGTTGGAAAACGTGGTAATCGAGTTTTCGTTGGACGTCAGCTAGATCCATTCGCGGGTAATGTGGCGTGGGCATACGAAACAATTAGCAGCGTACAATGCGTTTGACCGAATTGTTTGGAACACGCGAGATAATCCAGTAATAAAAGTAACGTGAAACGTCGGACGCAAGTACGATAATTAGATTTAAGTAGAACAAAGTGAAATATTAAAATATGAATTATAAAAATATTGTTACGCTTTTAATAATAAAATAGTATATACAATTGCTTCTATTATCTCTCTAACCTTTTAACTACCTGCAAATTACTATACGGTGAGTCATTGTTAATTATAAACTTTGCGAGAACGTATAAAAGAAATCTTTTCAAACGTTTATATAATATAAGCAACTTGAAAGAAGATTTAAATAATTTCTTGTTTTTCAAGATGGAAAGGATTATCAATGCATTGATAATCCTTTCCATCTTATTTTAACATTTTAAAAACAGCATTAATCTAAAGAATATTACTCCGGGAAAAAATGTTACATAAATGGACATTTTATACATAATTATATATAATTGTATAAAAAATATCAATTTTCTATATAATTATATATAAAATATTTCTATATAATTATATATAATTATATATAAAACATTTTATTCCGGGACTTTATGTCTCCATAAAAAAGTAATCTTGTAAATAAGACAGTCGATTAACTGATTATTAATTATACTTAATTACATTTAAATCCTACTGTGATACTTTAATATCACAATTTCTGCAATTCCACAGAACAAGTTCAGAGAGTGATATTTTCCTTGGAGAAGACAAATCATTTTTGTTTCTCAATCTCAGAACTTTTTCCGCCTCGTAAACACGTGCGTTCCCTTCGGGTTTTTCACGGATTATATTGGGAACGAAATAATCCGTAAGAGGAAAAGCGTGCGATATTTCTAGATACTGCCGAACGTTCTCATTCTCGCAAATCGAGCAATAATCCGCCCTATGCGCCGTTTGAACGTCCCGCCGTCGAGTGGTCTGCGCAGTCGGGATGCGCAGAAGACTGGTAGGAGTAGGTAGGAGCATGCGCGGCGCGGTGGCGCCACCATCGCGGCACGGCGACGTAGACGCGACGCGACGCACGGTAGCGCTGCGCATCGTCGGAAGCGAGCGGTGGATAGGCCGAAGGCAAAAGAACGAGGACCGCGTTCCGTCGAGGTGGTGCCAGTTTCGCAGTGCCGCGTAGTGTAGTGTTTTTTCTCTTCCTCTCTCCGCCGCGCCCTTCTCCCCCGCGCTTCCGAGTGCAGTGTGCATCGATGAGGAGGCCGCCTGTACCTCCCCCCCCGATGACTGAATAGTGTGCATTTTAGGTAAATCGTTAGGAATAATTCTGCCCTCCCCCGCGCGTTGCACGACCGCGCCCCGCGTCCCCGTTCGAAAGGCAATGCGACTGAGCGCGGCCACGTCTGTTACGACGACGACTACGACGATGATGACGATGATGACGATGACGATTACGACGATTACGACGACGACGATGGTTACAACGACGATGGCGACGAGGAGGACGCTCTCGACGGAGAGCTGTTTCGTGCGCCATCATACCGGACATGCCGGCATGTCCTCGACTCTGATATTAGCCACGAGCTGTACACACGCATTCTTGTGAGCCGAATCTCGAGGACAGCGACGGAAAACGGAAGTCGAGCGTGTTCGTGGAGAAAGGAGACACGCGGATGTATTACAAAGGGGAATTTCGTCCGTTATTTCTTAGAAAAAAAAAAAATTTAATTGCTACGTTCGCTCGAGCTCTCTTTTTCATTTTCTTCCTCTCTCACTCTCGTCTCGCATGGCGTCGGATTAAAGGCGACGACGAGTCTTAGCCGGCACGCGCCATACGAGCTGTTGATAACGACGAGAGGACGATAATCTCTCTCTCTCTCTCGTTTTCTTCGATGCGCCGGATCGCGCGAGTGAGTACTGAGTATCGACGCGGCGTGCCGCGTAGCTCCGTCTCGTGCTCTCGCATGCTCTCGCACGTCCGAAGTCCGAACGCAGTCGAACGAGTGCGACGGCTCGTGTCTCTTAGGGCGCTTGCCGACTACCGTCGGTCGTGCCGAGCAGTCGATACGAGACGGCGGGAACGACGGGCGCCGCCAGATCGAACGATCGGTTCGCGTCGAAGCCTTAGTTGCACTTGGCTGCACCGACAATCCGGATTAATCGCCGCGCCGGCGACACCCGCCTTCTCTCGTTCCCCGCGTCGCAATCGTATTATATTGTATCGTATCGTCCGACCGGAAGGGGGTGAGAGAGATGTGGTTGTTGCCTAACCGACGTCGTTGCTAAACCAGCACCTGCCGCCGAACTGTATCGCGATTTTCGGCTAACCCAACCTTCTCGCGGTTAGTGATTATCGTTTTCACGACTGCATCGCTGTTCGTAATATATACGAACGGTGAACGAGTCCGAGATTACTCCGGATTAAACGACGCCGATGTAACCGGTGTTCCCGAGCTGGGGATGTATCGACGATTCGATTTAAATCTGGGAGATTGCAAATGTAAACTCCGATATCTCAATTTCCGTGTTGTTCGATTTTTTTCTCGTTGAATCTGAACTTATTCTCGAAAAATATACGTGTACGGAAATACTAGGAAAATCTATAATATACGTAACGTATACTGTAGTATTTTCATATATTTCTGTATGCGATTTTTAGAGAATACGTTCCTGATCTGAAATCTGATTTTTACCAATGTCGATTAATCATGGTTTAACTTCTCTCTCTCTCTCTCTCTCTCTCTCTCTCTCTCTCTCTACTTTTTCTAATTCTTAGAAAAAAATGAAGTTAGTTGAACCAAGATAATAAAATTAAACTATATTGATAGAAGTGGGTATTAGCTGAACTTGCACAGTTAATTTTCTCTTTTTCTCTCCAATGTAAAAAGAAAAAGAAGAAAGAGATGAACTATGCAAGAAGTTCAGTTAAAAAGAGCAGACAGAGGTACCGTGATCATATTTTCTTAGAAAAAGAAAGGAGATAAACCTGAAAATTTTAAGGTTTCATCTAAATATTTCCAAACTAGTATGTGACTGTCTGAGCATTTATTTTTGAATTCTTGCACAGTATACTTGAGTTAATTCCCGAGTAAAGCACAAGTCATCACAAGTAACACCAAAATAACTATAGATTTTATTATTAAAAGATACTTCGATCACGATTTTGACGTCGTTTTGATGTTATAACTTTATTGTTCTATTTAAGTTAAAAATTTGTTTTAACTAGATATTAGTACATTAGACATTGGAATGCTAGTTAGAAAGGAATTTCCCATAATGTCATTAAAATGAGGGACAAAAGTAAATTATAAAGTCTGTTCTACAATGTGCTGTTTTTTGCTCTTTGCTGTCTTATCCTTTTCGCTTGTTCGGTTTTTTGTTTTATCACCTAAGATAAGACTTAACGAACTTCAAAAGAAACAAAAAATATTTACCGAGAAATACAATCGTCGATAAAACGTTACAAAAGCAAAAAATAAAAAACAAGAAACAGGAAACAAAGAGCACATTGTAGAATAGGCTTAAGAATCCTACTGAACCATACATTTGAAAATTCAACAATAAACTTATTGTTGAATACACAAAAGTAAGTTTTCAAAAAATAGATAAATCTAATGGACAACTAACCTGAAGGACAGTCCTTTACGATAAAGAACGTATGGTCACATATCTATAGGACAAAAGTTCGAGTCACAGTATACCTTTTCTTCGAAAGTTAAAAGCAAAGAGAGAAAGAGAAAGAGAAAGAGAGAGAGAGAAAGAGAGAAAAAAAAGAAAGAGGGAGAATTCGAACGGGATTAGTCGATGCCGACGGCCGTCGCCACCGATCGGGCATCATTCTAGAAGGAGAAGGAGAGGACGAGATAAAACGGACTGTTCCAACCTTAACTTACTGTCACGACTGTACCGCTTCTGGTCGACGACTCTCAGCATGCATCTGCGTGCCTTTTTCCACGCGCTCGATACACGCTCCCCGGCGTGCGAACAATGCCGCGTGTTTTCTTATCCGCATCGCACGTCCGATCCGGAGCAAAAAAATCGCTCGCTTTTAGCGCCGCACCGGATAACGTTGTCGATTCTCCGATTCGTCGTGAAAGCGCGACGCCGGAAAAGGACCAATGACTCGAACGACGAGACGGTAACGAGACGGGACTTTGAATGACGATAAGCTGTTAAAGATGTTTATCAGGATATTCACTAGACTGCGATTCGAAAGGAAATGGCTGTCAATATTAACGACAGCTGCAATTCTCATTTTCATGAATTTGATATTCTCCGAGTGACGTAAATATATCTTTTAATACACACGATTTTCCAGTCCTCTACATCAAGCTTGTCCAATTACTCCGGAGCTCAAAAATTCAATTCATTTGTGGATAAGATTTCGGGGACTGTGAAGCGTTGATAAACGTCATTCAGATGCGTATTAACACTTTACTTCTCTGAAATCTTATCCGCATTGAATTTTTTTGCGTCGATAGCTTTGCGTTTTGGTTTCGGAGTTTAAATTAGACAGGCTTGCTTTACATGGTGTCCAGCGATCTTTGAATATCCTTGAATACTGGAATTTTATATATTCTAGAAAATGTCTGGAAAATTCCTGAAATTTCAGGGCTGGCCTGGAATTTATTATTCTTTCATTCTAAAAAAAAAAAAAAAATTAGAGAAAGATAAGATAAAATAAGAAAAGATAAAATAATGAAAAGAAAAGTTGTGTATTTGTTCTCTCTTAAAGATGAAATAAATTATCAATAGAAAATTTGTATTTAATGTCAAAGATGGAACATAGAAAAATTGTTTATGTTGAATGTTCGTTTGATATTGTTTATGAAGCAATGAATAATATTTGTTAGCGTTTTAATTTATTCATATAGAATACAAAAATTTAATGTTACGCGAATCAATGAAAATTAATTTATTGATGCATAACTTCTGAAAGAGTCATTTTTCACCTAAAGTGTTCTGGAATTATCCTTGAATTGACTAGCCAGATTTTGCTGGACACGATGCTTTACTGTGATGGATCATTCGTGTTCGAGTTAATTTTTATTATTTTAACAAATTGAGTAAGTTGGTACAATTTTGAACATGTTACGACTATATACGAAATAAAAGATCTATTTTTTATTTTTGTACCACAACTCTCGCTTTCGCCAAATATCAAACTTACCTCATTTAAGTTCTAAAAGTGTACACTAGTTCAACTAAAAACAAATTTAAAATTTGAATCCAATATTCAAAGTTAAGTTTGATTTTTTTTTCGTCTGGTATCCTTGACAGGGTTATCAAATTTGAACTTCGAAAATTATACACGTTTGAAATTGTACCATCTTATCCTTTACATAAAAATAATTAAATGAGAGATTCTTACATGTACTTCAATATATCTGGAAAGTATTTATAAGAAGTTGCGTATTTTTTAAAAATTGTACATAAATGTTACAACTAATTACTTGAAGTGTCTAGTTTTTCGAAGAACTGATATGCAGAACAGGAATAATCCAATCGTGTGTATTAAAAGAGTTGATATTCTTAGCTTTTCAGGCAGTTCACAAAGATCTTTGTGAATTTATTCACATTCCGGTGCATATTTCACGCGTACTTTTCTGTCTAATAAATACTCTAAATATTCATGCATCACAATTGTCAATTATTCGAGAAATAGGAAGCCATACAAAGTTGCCGGAAGCAATATTTCGGGTGTTCCAAAATTCATTGCCAGTGCTGAAAATTCAGCGCACGTAAACGATAGCTTTCGTAGTTTGTCGTATTAATATTTGATAGCAATAATATAATTGCTGGTATAATACTAATATTTCCCGATTAATTAATGAATAATTATGACACGCGAGTATTTAGATAGGAAGTACGCGTCCCGAATATGCCCCGATATACGTAAACATGTGTAAGGCATTTATACTCCCGCACGTACGTTAATGGACTACATGTATTCGAAGGATCGAAATATATAGGGTGTTCCATATTTCAAACACTAGTTTATGTCTAGAAAAATATTAAAGGGGAAGGAACATTGTATATTTATGCATACCGTATTTCGTTTCGTGCTGAAATGCTTTTACGTGGTTCAAAATTCCCATAAGATGCAGAAATGTCTTCCAGAACATATTCGATATTTTCTAAGATATACAAAATAAGATATTTTATATTGAAAATTAAAAAATTTGTATTTCAAGCGAATCAGCTATGGGTGTTTATCGCTTCATTCCGATCATGGGATGGACAAATTCGATTTTTGTCTTCTGACATTCGTCGTTTGAAATACGTCTGCAGGACCGTACAACATAAA